AGAAAGGGAGATGCTATTTGAATTTGACAAGGTAGATCCATTTTTTAATATCCGAATATTTTGTTATATATATTTGTTGGGCCAAGTGGATATGGGTGGACACGTGTAAGGTAGATAGTGGCGGTTGTTTCTGGACACAAGCTATGTGGTGACCATAAGATATTTTCCATTTTTTTTAATAATATAAGTTGGGTGGCCTGTGTGGTTTGTAAGTGCCTAATTGTTATAGGAGATTCTAGGCTCGAGTCCCGTTACAGAATAATTTCGTCGGGTTTATAACTGGTAAATTAATTATTTATATAATTTCATAACAAGACTGTAGCATTTTCCGTTGGTATAAACTATTTGGACTAATTAACCTTTTTTCATATATAAAAAAAATTGGTTGCGATTGAATACAAATTTTTTAAAAAAATTTGTGTTGTTGAAAACAGTGATAGAAAATGAAAAATAAAATGTTTGAAATAAATTTAGTTTATGTGATACGAAGATAATAAAATATTTAATCATAAGGACTGAATAAAAGGAAATGTTATGGTCTTGTTACGGAACTATCTTGTCGAAAGTTACAATTGTTGGATATAGATGTAGTTAGTATAAGATATATGATCTAACTGTTAAAAAACTCGATGGTATGCTTCCCTAACGGGACCATAACGTTTCCCAATAATTTTTATAAAGTGGATGTTTTTAATAGTTGATTTCTATTTTTAAATATTTTTAGTGATATAGCATAAAAACAACAGTCTAAAAACACTTGTGCGTATACTCTGGGTCCTAACTAAATGTGTAAATAAACCAATCTGAACTCGAGCTCTTAATACTCGAGTTTATGATCGAGTTTTTATCGAGGCAAACAATGTCTGCTCGTTAACAAAACAATCGGATAATTGAACTTGAATTTGACTAATTTGTACTGAACTAAACAATAACAAATAAAATTTTATTTTTAACCTAGACGAACCTTCAACTAAACTAGTTAACTAAACGAGTCGACCCAACCTCGAGCCTTAATAAATATTGACATTTGGAATTTTACAATTAAAATAAAATAAAATAAAATAAACTTTTGTGGATGACTGAGACATCTAAGCGTAAAAATTGTGGCAAATATGTAAAATTCATATAGGCTATTTTGGTAGGCAAATAAGCTAGCTTATAGCTTATTTGATTAGTTTATAAGTTTGTATTAAAAAGCTCGAGCTTATTTGATAAGCTTCTTTAGGTAGTTTTTCTAATAAGTTAGTTAAATTCTTTATTCCACCTAGCTTATCAGCTAATTTTACCAAATACTTTTATCATTTAAACTAACTTTTCAGCTATAAATCATAAACTATTAAGTTATAAGCTAAAAAATTACTGATATAAGTTAGTTTATCAGTTAGTTTTACCAAGTAACGTTTCAAGTTCCGCCATAAAAACTCTGAAAACTGAATCCTAATTCCTCACAATCCCCAAAAAAATTCTTTATCTCCTCCAAGTATCCATCAAACAATCCGAGTAAAAATGGACAAAGTGCAGAAAGCGTACCGCGGCTGCGCAGCGCCACAGGCGCCGGCAACGACTGCAAACACCAGCTCGTTAGCTTCTTCCGTTGAGAAAACCAGCTCAGCTTCTTCTCCTTCTTCACCCAGAATCGCGCTGTCGTTTTCGATCGTACCGGACGAGCCTCGCTGGGTGATGTCCGGACGTCCAGGGTACGAAAACCCTCGTTTACCCCTTTCGTCTACTGCTTTTTACTGCCATGTGCCATCGGAAAATGGCCACTGATTCAGTAGGTGACGTGTGATTGTGTGATGTGTTTTGGCTATATTGATTTCAGTTTTGTTCTACCCGAGTAAGAACATCTTCTATTTTCCTTTTGCTGTTGAGATAGTTTAGATTTGTAGTTTAATGGATTGGTTGTTGAAGTTAAACATTGTCTGGAGTGCTTGGTTGTGTGTTGCTTTCATTTGGATTTTGTAGCTTGGTAACTACCTTAAGGTTGGGGAGATTGTAATAGTTTTTTCTGATAATGGAAAAAATGGATTTATCTAGTCATTTTGGTCCTCGAAAATTCTTCGAGGACCCTTAGATTTGGCGGGCAAGAATCGGAAAGGAACTGTAGAACTGATAAGATATACTTATGATTTAGTGTCATTTCAAGCAGTATTCACATTGGAAAGACAATGTCAATTGCCAAATTTTTCGAGGGCTCTTGGATTTGGCGGGCGATAGATTCGAAAGAAAATGTAGGTAAGTTGTTAACCATGCCAAATTGACAAGAGATAACTTGGTATACTACTCTTAAGATTTAGTCACAGTTCAACCTGTAACTTTCCTTGTTGGGTTTCTTTTCCTATGAAATGGAATCTTTTTTTTTTTTTTGTTGTTGAATTAATTGGCCCATTTTCAAAGATATTATGTAGTGGTAAAACTAAGTCTTCAAAGAAAACACCGAAAATCTTGAAAGGAAATGTATTGGAGGTGTGTCTCGCAGTGCTCGGAGTCTCTAGTAACACTGTTAGGGGATTGATTTTACATTCAAATCTTTATTACTTCCTATTATAATGTGACTAAACTAGTAAGTGGTGGGTTTGGTTTTTGTGACTAAACTAGTAAGTGGAGGGTTTGGATTTTGCTTAAGCTGCTCCGAGAACGATCAGTTTCTCTCTTTCTAAATTTATCAATATTAAACTGAATTTTTATAGTGCTCTGCTAGTATATAATGCAGTGATATCTTCTGATTATCTTTAATTGTTACTGAAAACTGACCCTTGAAACATGAGAGGGTAGAGCAGAAGAAATTTGAATTGTGTACCGTGTTATTAATATTTGAATAGTTAAAGCATCTCTTGGAGACATACAGAAAAATGTGAGAAAATATGACGGCGTACGTACTGTTCTCTATCTACTGTGTTTTGGTGAAATCAAAGCAGAGTTGAACAATTCGCTGAAAAAACATCTGAATATGGATATCTTTTGGTGCAGACATTTCGTACCACTATGGACCTTCTCAAAGCTTGACATCGCTTGTTTTGCTGCCGGCATTGCACTGACGGAATGTATGCTTCGCTGGGCACCAAAACATGTCAAGGGGTCGAAGGATGACTAAATTGTTGCATGTGTGGATGGCTTTGGTTATCTTTTGTTCAGGTACTGACATCGAGGAATTTTCTTTGGAGTTTGAAGATTAAATATTTAATGTATGCAACTGTTGGTCGTATATGCTCATATTTGAGTTGTAGCTGAGTAACAAGTCTGGATAAATATGGTACCTTATGTTTCTACTAATCGAAGTGTAGTAATGTTAACGACCCCAACTCGATATATTTCGATCATTTTGTTGTCTGCTGCCTTTTCTTCTATTCAATGAGAGAAACAAATTGCTGTTGCATATACGAGCATATAAGTTCTTTCCTTCGTAAATTTGTTCCTTTTATTTAATTACATTAAAAGAATGTTGTACCTTTTCTTTCCCCTCTTTCTTTAAATCCCCACTTCCACAATTGACATCCTTCTTCCAGAAGAAACCTAACAATTTGGACCATCTGGCTGTGCTGCTAGCAAGAATTTTTTATGCACGTAGAGATTTTTTCTGACATAGAAGTATTAAATCCTCTTATACACGAATAAATACAAATAGATGTGTGTGGTTAGCTCCTCATCCTTCTTCTTCTTTAGAAGTATTCCTTGTGAAATTCGAACCGTGTTGATGTCTTGTAAGTCAGTTCTTGTGACAGCTTTTTCAGCTCCTTTGCTAAGTTGGGCGCCCCACAGTAGAAAACACCTGCACATTAATGAGGCCACTGTATATTATGACAAAACTCTACTTAGTCATGTATTTATTTATATGTTAGATCAATTATTGTATAATTTGGCAGCTAGTAGGGGTGAGCAACATTGCGGTTAAAATCGAAAAACCAATTTTCAAATTTTGAAACCGAATCGCACCGCAACATAGATAAACCGAACCGTCAATTTTCTACACCAAAGAAAACCGCACAGCTTGGCTCGCTTTCCGGTTTTTTCTATGCATTTGAGTCCGGTTTGTGCAAAACTACACCGAGCCGGAAAGAAAAAATTATAACCGAACTTGTGAAAAGAAAAATAATTGACCCGCACCGCGACACATAAAAAACAAACCCAAAATTTGTACACTACAATAACCCAACAGAGTTGCATGGTTTGATTCGGTTTTGCTCAACCCTAGCAACTTGTGAGCTGGAACAACTTGAGATAAGGGCTTGGGTTAGAACAGTCCAGATAAAATAAAAATCTGGTCAGAAATCTGTTTTACCTACTGTACAGCAGGGATGCTTCACTGCTATTTTGCTGAAAACTTCCCTCCAATCTGGCCTTGCAAAATGTGTCCTCACCTGAAATGGAGAATGTAAAATTTGTTTTTAGGTCCTAAATTCGAAGTCTTTTACTCCATATCCTTTACGTTCTATATCCAGATGTTATCGTTACGTCATAAGGCCGAAATCTTACTCTTGTGCCAGATAGGATATCAACTCCATGCTTAGCATGGTTTAGAGCCTGTACCATTGTGATCAGAGTCGACCTTGCATCACCCTCTTCATACACACTCGTTAGGTAATTGTGCATCTCGATTTGGCCCTAATTCCATGTTGAGCACAAATTAATCCTTCTAAACTTGGGTTATTTTCTAAAACAAAGGATTTGTTTGGCGTGAAAAACGTTACCTTGAGATCCATCTCTGCCACTTCATTCATTACTCCTTTAAACCACTCGAAAGACCCAGGCTCTCTGGTCACCCAGTAGAAATGCGCACTCCTAGTTTTATGTGATTTCTTCTTACTGTTTGATGTGTCACATGAAGAGGTTATGCTATTCGAGCTGTTTTCTGATCGGCTGGTATCTGTGTTCGAGTCCTAAATCACCAATAGTAAATAAAGTTCAGGTTCCACCATATAGCTCTGTAAGCGCAATGAAATTACTGCAAGATGATTATTAGTTCAATGTCTTGCCAAACACGTACCATCAGATCTTCTTGTTTTGTATTGTTCAAGAGATCCTTGAGGATACTAATGAAAGGAGTGGCTCCAATTCCAAGTCCTACTAGAAGTAACACATCGTAGTTTTGGTAGTCCTGTGCAGGTGCTCCATAGGGTCCATCAACAAGCAATTTAGGTAAGCTGCAAAAATGGTTTCATTTTTTCAGGCTTCCTAAAGAACACTTCTTTAGTTCGCATAAATCTGTTGAGTCAAAATTACCCTGTTTGGTTAACATTGCCTTTCGCTCCAAATTTAGCCCGACCAATCACACATGTCGAGCTATTATCTTCTGTGAAAACACTCTTTAGCTCTTGTGTCCAGTCACCTACTGTCCGGATGTGAACGCTCAGGTAATCGTCTCCTGGTGCTGAAGTTAGTGAAAACGGGTGCCTGGGGAAATATACAGTTCATTCAGGCACATATGCACTTGTGCTTGTGTTAGTTTGACTCTACATATTATTTTGGTAATCTCACCATTCGAAGGAGGAGATTACAGGACACTGCAGGAAAACATATTGTCCGCTTTTGTATTTGAATCCATTCGGTTTGGCCATGACCAAGCTGAATACGCCTCCCGGAAGTACAGAAACCTAAGTCCAAAAAAACGAGGATGATTTGTATATTTACTTGTTAAGAGTGGTGTAGCCACATTTAACATGAAAATGCAGTTAATAATATTTTACCTTCAAAATCTTGACAGCGCAATGTTCTGACCTTCGACGACTCAGACTTCTCTCGGCCACATAAAGAAGAAGGGGAATGGATATGTACATCCATGTCTGCCACATCCAATTACACAAAGATGTTAGCGAAAACATAAATCAGCACTTGTAAAGCTGAAACATCAAACCCTACAAAAAGTTGATTTTTGTTTTTGTAAGAGTCTGACTCACCGTCTTTTTGTACCACTGGTGAACCAAGAACAAGAAGGTCCCATGGAACAAAAGCAGTACGTAGACAAGAACCAAAAGGTGATGGGAATACCAAAAGGCGTTGAAACCCGTTATTCTATTGAAAGGCGGTGGGAATTTTAGGATGTTTCTCCTGAAACGCCTTGTGGCCAATGTGAAGGCAATTACCATTAGGACTACCATGCTGAAACCGGTAATGCCGATAATACCAGTCAGAAGGTCTGTGTAGGTCGGCTTTTTGCCATGAAAATCGGAAGCAATCAGCTCAAACTTTTCAGGCGAGGATCTGACGAGCCGTGGGAAGTCGCACGTCAAGTGGATGATTCCATGGACTGCAACTCCTGC